AATTGTCTTCAACTAAACAGGCTGAGATTTTAGTCAATTATGAGTTCATTTAAAAGGTCATTTTAAAGATCGTTATATTTTCATCACTGTGGCCAAGCGGACAGATCCAGGGAGAGGGGGGGGGGGGGGGGGGGTCAGCAGCAGGTAGCTAGGTCACCTTCAACTCTGTTTTCCGTTGCCTCGTCGTCCTCCGACAGCAGCCTCAGATAAGTGGATTAAGTGTAAAACCAGATCAATAGCCAATCACTTAGGCCAATGGAGTAGATCCAAGAGCTCCACAATGCTGCGTGTCATTTGAGTGCAGCCTTACTTCAGTATATCCTCTCACAAGAACATTAGGAAGTCCATCAGGAATAATTTATGCCGTCTCGTTTCCAAACAGCAGGCTAACGAGGACAAATTATAATAGAGCCGTAGCTAGAGTACTCCAAGAGACGATTTACTACTCCGTTGTACTGCTGTGTCCCTACTGTCGCTGTTTACTTCCTCAGTGACAAAACACAACTTCGCTCAATCCTGAAACGACTCCTGTATTAATGGATGTGGTGTTTGATCGTAGTTGAAGAGCAGAGAACACACTTGGTTTCACACCGACTTTAAATCCGACACCTGTTTTGTCTAATGATCAAGTGCACGATTGTTAAACTGACACAAACATGTCATGTGATCAGCAGTCCAGTAGTTTCATGGCTCATCTGAAGGTGGTTTAGTTTGGCTGCCCACAAACGTGGAGCCAACCCTGTTTGGCCGTACAGTGTAGACTGTGTTAAGTGAAAATGATATCACTGTATATCGGTGGAACAGGTAGAGGTATGTGTTTCACACCTGTTTTGACGAATATGCAAAACGATGACTCGGAGGTCGTGGTCCTCGACTAAAATTAATCAGTCTACAGACTCAGAGTTTGTCAGTCGTACAGTTATTTACTGTGCTGCACTCAGTGAACCTGGTCTGAACTGGAGTGGAAGCCTCTGCAAATACAAGGCGGGTGTTGAGGTGGTGTTTTAAGCTCCAGGTTCTTTGGTGACACCGGTGAGTGTAAAAGTGACCTGAATATGTACTGAATACATTTTTATAGTAACGATAAGTGGACGGGCAATTTGGAACAGTGTGCATCATCAAAAAGTTTAATAATTAATTTCACAAATTAACCCGATTAATTTTGACAGACCAAATATATGTATACACATATAAATACATAAATAAATATACACAAATATATACAGATATGTACATATGACATTTCAAGGTTTATTTTACTATAACCTCAAGTTATACTCACTGTATATCAACTGCTGCACTAACCTCAAGTTATACTCACTGTATATCAGTATATCATATGCTGCACATTTCTTTAGCAATCTTTAAATTACAATTAAAAAACCTTGAAAGACAAAATGCATTCAATGCTGTTGCATGAGTGTAATCCAAAATGATTCCTTAGCAGGAATATGCTGGGGTTTTGTTTTGTTTTTTTTTAAGTCTGGGACAAAGAGTTATTCATCAACTCATTCTGTCAAAAGATAAAAACATGCTCTTTAGTGAGACTGACCACGACACAAGAAGACTTACAAACAAACGTGACTTTAGTTTGTTTGTTTACTGGTGTCCAATGACGGCCGGCCGACCAAGTGTTTCTCTGTATGCCGCGGCCCGGGGCTCCAGGGTTACATACCTCAGAATCAGCTGGAAGAGTTCAAATACATGTCCCTGCATCCTACCACAACTAGCAATTCGTTGATTTGCATCTTAGAGTAGCCACTTGATTTACAAACTCCTGGTGGAGGTCAGAGGTCACTAACAGGCACAGCAGGTACACGGTGTCAGGTCGTGAACATGTACTTCTGAGTAGCCAAAAAGTACCACAAATGAAAATGAGTTTTCACAGGCCCTGAGAGGTTGACTGAGAGGGAAGAAAAAAAAACAAAACAAAACTATGAACTACTAGGTTTTTCGTAAACAAAACTATGAACTACTAGGTTTTTTTTAAATTATACTGAATTCATTCGTGTTGATAGCACACAAATACAATACACACAAACCTAGGATTCCTACATAATTCCCTACAAACTCTCATTGTTTAGCTCAACACAGATTGTTCTCAGTGAAAGAGATCACATAGGAATCAAACCAGCAACCCTCCAGTTACAAACTCCATCCTTTACTATAACTCCATATCAACACAGCAAACTGAAAGTTTGTGATATTTACTAAAACTCACAACCACCTGTGTCATTAGGACCAGACAGACAGAGTAGAGACAATCACTGAGTCCCAGTAACTCAACACTAAATATTCTCTCTTTTCCAGGTAGTGATTTTGTCAGTATCAACCTTGTATTTAACTCAACACTAAATATTCTCTCTTTTCAAGGTAGTGATTTTGTCAGTTTCTTTGTTTGACATCAACCTTGCATTGCTCCCATTTGTTCAGCTTCTAGAAAATCAACTCACAGGCCTGGCATGTGTGTACTGTTAGAGAGGCATCAATACAGTCTCAATATCTCAACAATGAGAAGAGGTTTCATCGTCTTACAGTACAAGTATGAATTTGACATGTAAATTGTATCAAACACTGCTAAAAATGACATTAACAAAACAGAATTAGAAAAATCACCACAAGAGAAAAAGCTGTGATAACGCAAGCTACGTCACTGCACACAGGAGTGGACAACAAACGCTCGTTGACACCGAGACTCGGAGAATGACATTTATGGATTTAGCGTTACGTACAGAGGTGCGGACGGGACAAAATGCAGCAGACGAGATCAGATCAGATGCAGTTGTTTTATTAACCAAGTACAAACTTATTACAGAGAGAAACATCTCATGTAGCAGTAGCAATAGCAATAGCAATAGCAATAGCAATAGCAATAGCAATAGCAATAGCAATAGCAATAGCACCAATGACTTACCAACAGAGAGTGAGGCCCAGAGGTTTATATACTCAGGTCAGCAGCTGAGTCCAGTGACACTAATCAACACAGGTGACAGTGATGGAACTAATTACCCCAGGAGAGGCAGACAGGAGGGCAGGAAGGCAGACAGGCCTGACAATCAGATGGACTAAGACTTCAGGACTGAGAGTGCCAACATTAAATAAATGAATACATCATTAAAGAACTACTTAAATGTGTCATTGATGAATTAAATTTGAATGAATTATTTCATGGCCCCGTGTTGCAGTGCATCATGAACTAACTTTATCTGTCAAACTTAAAGGTGTTTATAGGTGATAAACACCTGCAGCAGATAGAATGACTCTCGGGGCGGTCGGTCCTCGGACGTCTGTGGACGTCTGTGGACGTCTGTGGACGTCTGTGGACGACCGGTCATCAAACATGAAAATGTGCAGTTCCTGTTCAGACCGTCTCCCTTTGATCTCACACACTCATCAATATCCTTCCTACGAAAGCCCACAGAGTTACCGAGCTCCCACTCAGTCCATCACGCCCGGGGGAATTAGCTGTGCAGGCAAGACACATGACCACAGGTCAAAGGTCAGCCACGTGCTTAGCACAACTATTTAAACATCAGGTATTATTCAGCAGAATGAATGAACTCCAGTCCAGAAGTCATGCTCTGGTCACCGCTGCTTCACAACGGAGAGGGATTATAACAACCACCAAGGTCAGATGGAGAGGTGTGTGGTTCGATTCCCTGAGATTGTTGACGATTTGCTGGCTACGTTTAGGTCAAATCCACAAGGACAGGGGGCGCTAATGCTGTTATCATCCCATTTCATCTAAGGTTAGCAATATAGAGTAGACAACCTGCTGTGTACAAAATCTCTGTGTCTTTCTTCAATTCCTGCCGGTATATCAGCGTTGTCTTCAACTAAACAGGCTGAGGTTTTAGTCAATGATGAGGTCGTTTAAACTAGGCTTTTTGTGAGATTTTTGTTTGGTGGTGTGTTGTGGCTCAAAAACGGTTGAGAAACACCGATGTAGAGAAGTAGTTTTGTTATTTTTATGAATACAGTTTTTAAAAATTGTCATGTCCTCATATTAACGTGTGTTAACCTCATCTTGCAGTGACTGGAATCAGCTGTGCTACACGGCGGTGGCTGTGGCCTGGCTCATAACATAAAAATGAACTCTTTCCTGTTCCATATGAACATTTAAGCATAATCCCAGAAGTGCAGAGAGAAACGTCACTGGCCAGAAGGCAGCTGCTGGTCAAACACACACACACACACACACACAGACACACACACACACACATGGCAGCAGCAGATCATTTAGCCTGAAAAGCACCAGTGAGGTAAAGTCTTGGGTTTAAATAGTTCTCTTTTACGAGCTCTGACCGCAGCAGCGGTGACCTGAGGGGGACAGGGGGGAAAGATACTTATGACACAGAGAGCAGCAGGTCACCAAGGTCATCTCTGCTTTTCATCTCAGCATTAAAGGGATAACCCTAGAATTTTTTTCCCAAGAATTTATAAAATGCCTTCCTGAGTCACCTTCACCTTCACCTTCACCTTCACCAGACTACAGTCATTGAAAGAAGAATGTCAGCATGTCAGCTAACAATGAGTTTGGTGGATGCTTTTTAAAGCAGGGGTCACTGAGTCAAGCTGAGGGTCACATCAGTGTTCCATATTCAGTCCTGCAGATAGTTGTTGTTTAATACTGATACTGTACGATATTACACTGTAATGTAATACTAACATTTCAATAAGTGACAAAAAATGACAAAACGAAATAATTATTCACCTCAAGGTACAGGTCAGAGGTCAGGGGTTTGTAGGCATTAGATAAAGGTCAAGAGTGAATCTAACTGTGGCTAAAGGACTTTTTATTTATGTTTAGTTCAAGTCGTCTTTGTCTCTATGACACGAGGGTTGAGGTTATTAACCTTACAGCTGTCAAAGGATTCTTATTTAAAAAAATGCAATTAGCTTTGAAGTAAACATCTTCCTTATTTTTATTACTCAAATTAATTAACCATAATGAGTTGACATTCTTTAACATGATAAAAATAAAAACAACTTTTATTCTGTTGACGTTTGTGTTTCACACATTTATTTCGCCATTTAGGTTCTGAAGTTCTGTACACGATCAAAAGTGAATGAAGAAAACATTATTACGTCATCAGTTAAAGAACCTTGTCATTACTGTGACCACAGCTGACACCTGCAGGTGAACCCGACGTGGTCCAGCTGCAGTTGCTCCACAAGAAGAAGGAGCGTTTCTCTAACAGATTACAGCGGTGGTATGTGCTAATCTCTGTATCCTTGATCCAGATGTTCCAGCCAGAAAGGGAAAGTCTGAAGTGGATGGACGAGTTGCCGTAGAACAGTCCTTTCAATCATGTGGCTGCAGCAGGACCTGGCCTGGCCTGACCTCATGACCTCATGACCTCTTGGCCTTCTTCTCCTTCATGATCTTCTTGCTCTCCTCTCTCCTGCGTTTATTGACGGGGTTCCGCGGGTCATAGATCTCAAAAGTGTCCTCGTCCTGCATGTTGGCATCTTTGACTTTTCTGCTTTGCTCATCAAACTGTAGTACATGGCCCATCCTAAATCAAAGGGAGAAGAAAGGAAGAGAGAGATCAAAGAACTGCAGCAGAGGAGCCACTAAATCACTGCTCTGTACTTCCACCTCCAGGCCAAACACCACTTTAACGTTATTATTACTACAGAGAAAAACCTTTATTTTTTAAATCAAAAAATACAATTTACTTATAAATATAAATATGGTGTGAAATATTGACCATAGAGGCTGTTACCAAGCAGAGTGACTAAATGAACTGGATCAAAAAAAAAAATAAAAAAGAGAATAAGACTATTATAGTGAATTTATTTGAATGTTATCTTTACAAACGCCAAGTATCGAAACAAACCAAATCCTACAGGAAGTCTTGCTTCTTGTCTTCGTCTCCAAACTTTTGACATTGTTGACCTACTGATATAAACTACCAATGAGGACAATGAGACACTAAACTCAACCCTGGCTGAGTGTTTGACCCGTTGATGATGATACGTAGTAATAAGTAACGCCCGATATCTTTAATTGTTGAATATATTTTGTTTATTTGTGTTTATCTGTGACATCCACGTTACCTGACTGCACGTTACACTTCCGAAACTTCAGTGTGACACTTTGAAGTTGTACTACATGAAAATGTACTCTGTTATCCCCACAAACAACACACCAGAGTCCTGAGGTGGTCGGAAAACATGTCATACCAGTTATTTTCTAGAAAAACCCAACCTTTAATCAGAAGGTCAAGGCTAAAAACAGAGTGTCATTTTCTCTTTCAAGTGTTTTTTAGGAGACTTTTTGGCTTTTAATTTAATAGAGGAGCAATGAAGAGTTGTTACAGGGCCTGATGTGAGAGGAAAGGGTCACAGTTTCTAGACTGATTTAAACTAAAAAAATACAAAGTAAAATGGACTCTAATATGAAGGAATCAAATGCAGGTACTGTTTTGGGTTCATTCTTGCAGGAAAATGACTATAATTTCAACCCAAACTTTATAAGTAAAACACGATAGTCGATGCAGATTTGCCCGCACACGGAGCCGTGATCTTAAATCAAAGAGTGTGACCAGGCCCGGGGCAGAAGTCCTGAATTTACATTAAAGACATGTCTGCAGCTGTACAACAGTTCCAGCTCTATTCGACCAGTTTGAGCTCCTGATTGACATCAGCTTGTGTCCCGTCCATGTACGTCTGAAACAGTAGATACTGTTTTTCAACCTGGCTCCAAAAAGTACAGCAGCTGCTTTTTCATTTTTGTAAAATTTTTAAATATTTTCTGTTTGTCTGGTCTACTGTGCGTCTGCTCCCGTCTCTGTGTGCCGTCTTGTTTGTGTGTGCACGTGCTCGGTGCCCTCTCCTGTGTTATTATGAAATCAGCAGGAGTTGTGACAGCTCATCTAGAATGTCATGGCTAGACTCTGGCAGACCCTGTGAGCGTCCCGCTGTGTGAGTGGTTCCCCTCTTATAATTTGTATAGCAGTCTCAGCGATGACAGTCTGCTGGCCGTGCGGCCTCAAACTCATACGGCTCCCAGAACTGTTGTAGAACTCGGTGCTCTGGCCTCACGGACGCCACTGTCATATATTTGTTTTTGTTCTTTTTTGTGGATGGTAAAGGTTAAGGAGATTAAGAAAGCATGGCAACAAGGGGAAACAGCAGACTCTTTTCACCCAAGTCTAAAGCCTATTCAGTGTGTTAGTATAGACCAAGAAACGAAGCGGGGGGAGGAGGGGGAGAGGGGTGAGAAAGGAGAGTCAAAATCTGTAGACACAGACCCAGATGGAATAGTTTACCTCCTTTGGCCCAGACTTGACTTCTAAAGTCTGATCTGTTGTAACCCACATTTTACTCACAGTGCTCCTAAAGTGGCACAGACTTCCCACTGGTGTTTTTCTAGGAGAGCTATGCTACTGCCCCCCTCCCCCCCCCTTCTCATCATACCTGTTGTGGTGACTGTGACCAGGAGGGGCTCCAAAGACCAGCCAGGGTTTCCCTCCAATTCATTAGGGCCCCCACACACAGACAGACATATACTTCAAGGGGGCTTCTGAAGACTAATAGCAACTACAGATTTTGTTATTCTACATCTCACACACACACACACACACACACACACAGACACTTTGCCCAGATTCAAACACATGGTATTCATTTCAAACCCTCACCCAGTGTAGTAAGACTCTGAGATCTTTGGTGAAAAACAGAATATGAGAGGAAAACATAGTGTCAGGGCTGATTTCCTGATGGCCGATCTGGTGGCTGTGGGGTGAAATCCCACCTTGAGGCGCATGCACGTACACAAACACATACACATTCACACGCACGTTTTTGTGTGCGTTTTACACAGACGTCATGCATTCTCTAGCCCTTAAATATCACCTAGATGATTAATCCTAATCCTTATTTTTAAATCTAATCCTCACTCTAAAACTAAACCTGAAATAATAATAATTGTTTTAACTATTTTGTATATGCCCAATCCTAACCCTTACTCTGATACAAACCAAATTCTAATGCATAATCTAATCTTAAGCATTAATCCCAAAATACCCTCTCAGTGTGTGAGTGAATACAGGAGGTCCCAAAAACAAAAGAATAAAAAAATAGTCCTCACAAGTATAGCTTCACAAGTACACACAGACACACAGATGCTACTTGAACTTTCACACACATTTATCCCCACAAGAAGAAATGTCCTGAAAAGAACAGTCATTTTCCAAACGTGTCCCCACAATCACCGCCGCACACTGAGAAACACAAACACACCAGCATAGGTTGTTTTGTCTGCACTTCACACACAGATGTAACGCATAAAGAGTGGACTCCTGAAACATGTCCCCAAAAAAAGTATTTTAAAAAAAATATGTCCCCACAAATAAATAAAAACACGCACGCACACACAGACAAAGGCATCAACAGATTGTACTCCCATACTATCACATACTACAGTCTGTCCAGTCACACTCTGTATCCTAACTCTACATAAAAACCTAATTCTAGTCCTAAATCCAAACTTGACCTTTAACCTCAAAATACCCTCTGACCTGAAAATGTCCCCACTATGACGTGTCCACATAAAAACACAAGTATAGCCTCACACACAGATGATAGTTGAACTTTAAAAATGTCTCCAGTGTGGGATCAGTAAAGTTCACAGTCACCAGAACCTGAGGTGAGCTGCAGATTTGTGGAGTGTAAAGGTTCATGGTTCAAGTCCAGGTTTCATATCTGAGACCGGTTTACTGTCTCCTGCAGACGACCCAACTATTCCTGAGGAAAGTTTTTTTTTTTTTACACCTGCGTTCGCGGAGCAGTGTATCAGGAGAACAACAGTGTAAACCAGCAGAGGTTAATGAACGGTACTTTCTCATGCCAACTTCTCCGGCTCGACATTTGCTGACCATAAAACACCGTCTCAGCCAAGCTGCTTCTTGAACTCTGCAGGAGCCGCCAGGAGTCTGCTGCTAATAAGTGCTGCGGCCAGTGCTGTCACCCAGGCCTGTTTACACAGCAGCTACTTTTTGGTGACCCAGTTCACATCCGTCAGAGCTCTAAGTATTTATGTGTTATTTATGTTTATTGATGCCCTGAGTTTAATGCTGTCATAATGTGACCCAGTGAAATTATGGCAACTTCAAATGGGCCTCAGCTACAGAGACAAACAATTTCAATTTATTGTTGTGACCCAGTGTGATGACTCAGCTATAACTGACTGAGGTGGGGGCTCTGATTTATCTGGGCTACTTAAGTAATGCAATCTATCTCTACCAGACCAATGAGTCAGTCACATGCTGTTGGGGAGAGTGAGTGAACGAGGAATGCAGTAGTGTCTATGTTGTCCACATCTACAACAGAATTAAGGTGCAAGGCAGCCTCTAATGAGCAATAATCTGTCTAAGAGCTTCTCCCTCTCTCTCTTTTCCTCTCTCCACCTCCTGTCTTACCCTACCTCCCCCTCCCCCCCCCCCCCCCCCCCCCCCCCCCCCCCGCTCCCCCTCCCACTCTCTGACAAATCAACAGCTTTTTAGTTTGAATTCAAACACTATAATTCACACTGAGCAAAAGGAATAAAATCACAAATGAGTGCAATTTCTCCACTTTGGGCCGTGCAGTAAATTTGCCCGCACTCTAATGGACTCCACTTTGGAAACCACTGCGTTAGACTGTGGCGGCTGCTTTGATTGGATGATTTAACATTGGCACGTTCGTTATCTTCAGACTGAACAGCTCTACTGTGAGAGCCACAGCTCTTTGTGTCTCGTTGGTTATTTGGCTCAGTCTCTGCCAGAATGACTGAGGATCTGAAGGGCTGGATGTGACAGTGATCATTGAGGGTCAGGGTGGTCGCCGTGCAGTGACACACTGTGCAGCGGTTTTTAACTGAATATAACATAACTGAACCCACTCAATAACTAACACAGTCCTGTCAGGGCCAGGATTTGAACTGTCAACCCTTTGATCACAAACATAACAATCTTTTGATTTTGAAAAAAAGTAAGCAGCAAAGTGAGAAATATGGAATAAATCCTTTAAACCATTGTTTCCCATGGACTGGGTCGCGACCCTCAGGTGAATCACAACAGACTTTTTTTGGGTTGTCTCGCATCATGTTTCTTAAAAGTTTATGAATAATGTCTATTGACTTGGGCTGCAAAGGTTTGTGACTATTAAAATACAGGTCCCCGGAAAAAAAGTTTGGGAAACTGCTTTAAACTACGGAGAATTATGAAATGATCAGCTCTGTGATACAGAGTAGAGGGAATTAGATTTGTTGGCTTGCACTATCCTATCCTTAAAGAGATTCTATTGGTAGTTGTACAGCAATTTAATAATAGCATGTACCCAATGTTGTAAATACTGATACTGAGGTTGTCAATGAGTATAATAAATCATAAATCATACAAATAAAGTAAAATGTTAATACTCAAATTGGAGATGTTTCTAAATTCACCAAGAGGCTAGGATTGAATTGTCTTCAATAAATAAAATAAAAAAATAAAAATAAAAAACCAATTGACCAGTATTAAAAATGTGACTGACCATCCTTTGTCATCGTCTTCAGCCAGCTCCTCCACGTCCTCCTCTGGATCGTCAGTGATGGCTGAAGACAGCTTGGATTTGAAGCTGTTCAGAAGAGCCAGTGTCTGGAAGGCAGAGATATAATTCACCAGGACACAGTGAATAATTAACTGTGCTAGAAACCCCAATCCATCAGGTTTAATGAATTACCTGTTCTTCTCTGTTTGAGCCCTTCTTCCGTTTCTGTTTTTTGAGTTCTTCATATTTCTTTTTTCCCTCCAGGTACTCGGCCATGGCTTCGGTGGTTGGTGTTTTTTCTGCTGAAAAGATGTGGGATGAACTTCTGATTATAATGTTATGATGTAATAATTTCACTACTAGTTCATCGTAATATTATGATCATAATAATAATCATCATATCTTTACACATCATAACTGTGCAATGAATCAAATGAAGATTTTCTGTTGACTTTTCCCATTTATTAATGAACAAAACTAACTTCACAGAAACTCTTCCAAAATGAGCTGCAGACTTTACTGTCCAAATATTATAGACAAAAAGGTTCTGGGTTAATCAAAATGTGCCAACCAAAATGACCTAAAAACCAACTCTAACAATCTGGCTGATGCATGTTACAGCTTATCTCTGACACGACGAGCCGACACCTCTGGTGAGAGGAAATACCGCTGCTGTAGACGGTTCAGGGCTCGACGATTGATGTGCTGCTGGAATGGGCAGAACACGATCAGAGGGGAGGATATAATGCATGTTAGGCTTGGACAGTGCAGAGATGAGTTACCAGACCTCTCATCTCTGACTGACACCCTCGCACTGATTCATACTTCTGCCAAACTCTGCAGAGACGTAGCGGACTGTAGCCCTGACCTGCTGACCTTTCACTTCATCTTGCACATATATGACCCACATTTTTGCTGCTTTCTCATACACAAACCTTATGTAAGTGGTCGCTCCGGGCAATGGGGAAGAGGGCAAGGTTAGGTAAGAGCCCTTTAATTCTTAGAAAAAGACAGGGACAGGGAGCATAGTTGCATCAAAGGTGAAAGGTCGCACAACAGCTTTTGAGGAAAACAAGAAAGAGAAGGTGATGGATGAACAATTTCACACTGTTTTCATCACGTCAAGGACGATGTCCAACCCTGAAAGTACAGCTGCGTCAACGGCATCATTTAAACATTGAACATTAGCTGATTTGACGTTCCGCAAGTTTAAAAAAGAAAAAGCCTTATTGACATCAAAACTGATCAACTGACTGATACATTTAACATTTTACTGATGGTTGTCTGGTTTATCATGTTAAGTAAAAATATATACTGTGGTTGTACTTTTAAATAGTTTACATATGGAGACACCAAATGATAATTATTGGCAGAAACCAAAAACTGGAAATGAGGAAACCAAGGCCGAAAAACCACTGACAGAGACGTTGCCTCTGGGCCAAAGCACCACTGCACAATATAAAATACATTTAAATTAAAAAAAGATTGTTTCTTTGTGAATCTGCTTTTACACAACAAACTCCCAACTCAAATGAAGAGGCTCCATGTCGCGGCTGACAGGACGACTACAGTCATGGCTCTGGTGGCAAAGCTTTGAATCATTTTCCACTAACCAGTCGTCCTTGGCAGTGGGTGTAACGTCACTCACCACAGCTGAGCACATGGACAATCAGTGAGCTGACATCGGTGTCCAGTGCAGTTTATATGCTTCTGTGAATCTCCGAGCTCAGACACGTAGACAGTGGTGTCACCGAGTGGCAAACAGTGAGCACAGACTGCTGGCTGCCTCAGACAGCTCTTTCCACAACAAAATGTGATGTCACACACACACACACACACACACACACACACAACTTGCTCGCCCTGCGTGGCACGGTGTCACGGCGCAGGCCAAACTGTGCCACCCCTGACTTTGACGCCCTGACTCACTGAGGTGCACAAAACAAATGATGCAAGAGAGAAAACATTCTGCTGCAATAGTTTGACTTTCTGAGCAGGCAGAGAAAAGCAACATGTTGAGCCAGCTGTGCTAAATTCACCTCAGCAACCCTTAATGAAAGAAAAAAAAAGAGAGAAAATACAGACAGGGCTTTTAGGGACATAGAAATAAATATAAATCCAAGATACAGAGTAGGTCATTAATGGTACGTTTTTTCACAATATAAATTTGGATGTGAAAGTAAGATTTCGCACACCGCCTAGTGGCAGGTCGTACACCCCAGGGTTGCCCGCACAACACTTTGGGAATCCCTGCTTTAACTCAACCTAAATTTCAACCACTATTTATTTCATCTTGTCGTATGCAAATTCAGCAACCACTTTACCCTGACACGAAGTGCACAGGATATCCTGTTTATTCTGTGAGAGTAAACTGAACTATTGTTTGGTCTACAATGGTGATGGGTGTACGAGGAATATCACTGCAGTAAACAAAAACATGTCTCCCTACAAGATAAAGACACTACCTATCGTTTCATCTCCTCAGGGTTGTCGAGGGAGCTGGAGCCAGTCCCAGCATGCATCTGGCAAGGTTGGGCTGGATCGTGTACACCCAGGACAGTTAACCAGTCCATGACAGGGATAAGAGTGAAACCAAACAAACAACCACTCACGCTCGTTTAAAAAGCTAAGTCTATATCTACAGCGTCCACTAACCGTGTTCTCAATCTATTTCTGGAACCTTCAGACCAGGAAGAACTCTCTAACTCAATTAATACAGACGGTCGTGTACTGGAACTGGTCTTCTTCTTCCTGTAAACCTGAAGCACTAATCACATAAGGAAAAAAAGAGAGACATAAAATATAACTGATGAGAATCCAAATCTGTCTCATTGTTGGTGCTTATCTCAGTTTGAACATATTAAAATATATAAGGATTTATTCATTAATGCCTAAAATGAAAATAGGATTCGTGGATTTGTTTCTTGACATGGGGGTACACGGGGTACTGTATATTTTTTAGACTCCAGATTCTTAGATGCAGGCCTTGTAGTAGAGAGAAGTAGTATTTAGAAAAAAGAAGTTCACCTCAGGAGAAATGTAACCCACCAGTGTTTGGTATTTCAGAAAACCATAAAAATACTCATATTTCTCTTTATGCTGAGGATACTCCAAATTCCAAGCAATAACAGCTTTGCAGATCTGAATGCCACACTTTCCCAACTTCCCCTGGTGTCCCAACAGAGGACTCCCACACTGCTGGTGGGGCAGAACTTTTTTTTGATTTATGAGACACAGAAAGTGATCTTTCTGCCTCCCCCTTCCCCCCAGCCCCCTCAAACTACCCTTTCTCACTTTGCTTCCTTGCTGGTGCCTATGACGCTGGATGCTGACGGATGACGCCCTCAGGTCCTACACGGTCAACACACATCACCTTCTCCAGCTGTTGTCACTAACTACTATCTTTGAGTTTGATGGCCTTTCTAACTGCATTCCTGTCTTCTCCTGTCACCTGGGTTCAAGGGAGCTACAAATCACGCTGCTGATGTTGTAGCAACCCCGGTCTGTTGTGGACGTCAAATGCCTCGTTCACGGGATAAAAGCTTTTTCTCTGTTTAATGACCACAGGGTTGTTTTTTTTTTTTTACAGAAAATCGCAGCAGCACGCCACTGTGGTCATTTTTAAAAGAAATGTCAAAAACGTCTGTCAGCTACAGCTTGGTGTCCAACGCTGATGATTAACAGTGAGTTAACCAACCACTGATTGTTTAAACGAAGATATTAGACTTTTTTAACAAAGACACAATAGAAAAGTAATTAATGAGGTAATTGTCTCGTTCAATACTTACAAATCTTAACAACGATTCTCTCACCAGTGTAATGAGACATTCAGAGTACACAGGCCGGACCTGTATAATCTTTAAATAGGATAATGGTGGGTATTGAATGAACAGTGGTTTCAGAATGGCCTTCTTATTTTTGGCCCTGGTTCCCAGCGGTTGTACTAAAAAAGAGAAATCCAGATGCCAGGGAAGTGCTGCAATTTATGTGATGAAAAGTGAGGTGATGATGGCTGAAAAACCTATCAGCAAACCGAAGAAATACGTTTAATATGTGCACTGGTGTTTGACCAAACTCAAAAGATTATTTTCTTTTATTCCTAAAATAAAAATAGTGTAAACATAAAATAGAAGCTTAGAAACATGGAAGCATAAAAAAGAAAAATCCTGTTTCTTATTTTTAGCTTACATATCTAATTCCACGTCAGGTATTATCAATTAACTACTGATTAAATCTCTATCAATGAAATCAATGGATTTCAGACAATATTTATTTATTATTTCGAGAGATCATTTGTTGAACATATTTTTGGAACACCGACGTTCAATGTCAATCAAAGCTGCATCCCAGTGAGAAATTTTGACAAACATTAATATCTGGTTGGATGTTAGATTGCCTTTGTAATGATATTTTGAGCATGTTTAGAGACCATAAAACCATAGTGTATTGATTTGTAACCTGAGGTTTTGTTAAAATATAAACGTCAACCACAGAGTTACTTTAAGCTAATTCAGAATTTAGCAGGTGAGCTTTATCAGACAGTTCCTTTTCTGTTGACAATAAGCCTTGAAAACGAATTAATACAACCTGACCATATAGTTACAAACTAATGCAAGAAAAAAACAAATCAATTAACAATAAACCAAAATGTAATCTGAAATCCTAAAAGAGTTGAAGAATTGGCTCCTGGGTTGAAAAACATAAAACCATCAGTCCACCGTTTGTGGAAACAAAACATGTTTAAGCAACAGAATCTCCTCATGGTTACCAGCAAATGTTGGCTAGCATCTATCTTGTAGTTTAGTTTCAGAACATCCCCCCCCCCAAAGAGTAGAACCCATTGTGTTATATTGCACTACAACAACACATTTGCACAACCTCAAGCTAACCTCTGCCCTGAGTGGTTTTTGTCATTTTGAAAACCGTGTTTCAGTATCAGCAAAAAGGAAAAAAGAAAGATTGACGGCATTGTGACACACTGGACTGTGGTGGAGACCCAAGGAGTTCTTAGGGGGAAGTATGGGGGGGGGGCAGATTTTTACAGAATGACACTGACCAAAGCTGTAAAACTCACTAAGTTTAATTTCTAACTATGGCGGCCACTCAACTATTTTTACCCACGCAATTTTCTGCGAGCTGTAACACAAAAATGCAGAGCCTTTGGGGGAGAATGAAAAGACGTCTGCAATTAATTGACAAAATCAGAGGGTTGCCTGTCTTAGTGTCCATTAGCAGGGAATGTAGGAGAGACCACCTTCTAAGAGGATGCATTCATACTTTCACTTTTTTTAACATCACAGAGAGACGTCAACGGTGGTCAGGGACATGGACAGCAGAGAGACCAACCCTTAGTGCAATCCCCATTCTCAGTCCAAAATATGCAATAATTGTTTACTTGAAACTTTACCTAACTGGCAAACAAGGTTTTCACTGACTCAGTTCTGTTGGTTTAACTTTAACAAGTTGAATACTTGATGCCTTCACCACACTCACCGAAAAATGTTACACTGAAAATATCCCTCTCTGGAAAGTTACTAAAATATCAGGGAAAGGTGGTTGGGGTATCGTGATTTGTATGAAGATAAATGACAGGTCAAAGTTCACAACTTTGTCCTTAGCCAATGAAAAGATAGGCGCGTCACTTTAAAAACAAGGGCAAAATGTTGGTCTTGGCATCTTATAATTATTAAAGCAAGGCGTAAAAACCATTAAGGTAACGACAAGAGTGTGCGTCGGTAACAGTATCTCAGACCTCCATACCTCTAAGGCTACTGTAAATGTTCACATACAGGACGTTTTGCAACTTGTGCTTCTGTCAAGTCAGTGACTTTTACCTAGACCTTTCAGTAATTTGCACTTCATGATGTGCAGGTTACAGAAACGTAGTTTTGTAGACATACCGTAGATAGATGGACTACACTGTATGTTTGAATGGCCTGCCTTCAGTTCATAGCTGTTGACAGTTAAAATTGTTGGGAAAGATAGAACCAGACAACAGCAACCACGGAGAATTTCACACTGCAAGAACAGACTTCAAACAATGGAAGTGTTTTTGAAAACGTGGTTGTAACCACTGTTGAGCTAGCCTTCGTCAACAGGGTTCTGTGCGTCTGAGGTATCAGTTTCAAACAAATGTTTGGATGTGTGGTTACCATGCACATCAGTTGGTAAATACAGAATCTCTTGCAGACTGACCTTCCTTGATGTCATCTTCTGCAGGTTTGGACTTTTCTTCCTTCTTTTGCTTTATGGCCTGCAGTTCCTTCTTCAACTGGCGAACTTCTTTCCGTAACTCCTCACTAGGACAGGAACAAAGAAATGTCAGGGTTTAGGTGACTCACATTCTGTATCTGTCAATCACTGGATTTTTATTATTAAAAAATATCATGAGAAAGTGAAAACAGAAAACTAAAAACTGTCTCCCGACATGTAAAGAGTTAACAGAAAACTGGCCTTTTTTTTTTTTTTTACAAACAAACATTATTTGCTCACAAACATCATGCTTCTCTGCATTTAATGTCCATAGCCAATTATATGGGCATATAAAACCAACATAAAATTTACAGTGCAAGTGTCAGGGCGCAGTGTGTACCATGAAGTACTATAAAGCGTGTGTTACTCCGATGAATTTTATGGAGCCTCGATAAAATAATTGCTACCTCCTCCAGACTCCTGGAAAGTTCCAGAAAGGATGTTTCGAGGTAAAGGAAAGTCGAGCCAGGAACAACGTCAATGTGTTTCTTGTTTAAGGATGAGTAATTGTCTTTTCAGCAGTACTGCCTGAGAACAAAGGAAACCATGCTGACAGAGTCACTTCTGACCTAGAAATGCCTTCACCCAGTGGAGTGTTCTAAATCTCTATAATGTATAATGTTGTTCAATACTTTTAAACAACCTTCATGCCCAAAGCATTTGGACGCAGTAGACATTTGTGGATAAAATGAATGTTTGCAAGTAAAAAATCTTCACAATGACCTCACGACTTAATTGAAAACCGAGAAAGAGTGAGTCAAAACCGGACTAAAATGAAGTCTTATCCACTGTGAATACTACATAGATAGAAAAACACACTCAGAACTTTCTCGAGGTATGAACTTTGGCCGTAAAGTACCTGTCCCAAGTGTGTGAGAAGCTACAGCTAACACTTCTCTAACAATCCCCAGATCAAATCGCAATTGGCGCAGTTACACATCTTGTTTCTAAAAGAACTACAACAATTTCCAGTGGCGCTTTGACCCAGAGGCAATGTCTCTGTCAGTGGTGTGGAACCCCAGGGTTCACCTGCTGGGCAAGTTCGAATCCCAGTTAGGGCGGTTGGTACCTTCCAGTAGTGGTTGGTACGGTGCAGTGTGATTTGGGTGGCGTCATGGAGACTGCTGCCCCCGTGACCGGGTAACGGATAAGCGGATGAAAGTGGATGGATGGGCAACAATTTCCCCAGTGTGGCATCAATAAGGTTCAAATTAATCTTATCTAACGGGGGCATCCGTTAGTCTGACACCAAAGTAATTAAAGGCTACATGAACGTCTGATGTGGGGCCATAGTGACTATTTCTACCGGTTTCTTAATCAAAGCCTACTGCCATGATTGTACTGCCCGACATCTTAGTATCCTACTCTTTTAAAGAGCTTCAAACGCACAGGTAAGCTGCACAGTCTGGGCCTCTGGCCTAGAAACATGTGAGGCGTCTCCAGACCAAACAATGGCTGCCTTTGTTTCTTCCATCTGCGTCTCAGCGCTGACATTCATTTATACCCATTTCTCCTCTTTTATCTGGAACATTCATGCTCGTGTTTGCAGCGGTCCAGCACTCGTGTTATCTCTGTTTGATTCTCCGACATCGTCTGCGACAGAGCATCCAGGCATCAGACCCAGTGACATTTTAACTTTAAGTGCCTCTGCAAATATTAACAGCTGTGGCCAACTTGATGTCATGTCTCCTCCTCGTTAGCTTCCCCGCTGCTCCTGAGGATACACATGAGGAATCAGTCAAACATGCAGTTGTTAGTCCGCTGCTTTCCTTAAGCAAAAGGGGGGAAAAACTGCAGCTGAATCCAGACTGAAGTTGCCAGGAGCCAAAGTGGTTGGCAGGGTCAAACCTGGCCTGTCTGAGGAAGCCTCGTGCTCTGCTCTGTCTAGAGGCAATGACAACAAACCTTTTTTTTTTTTTTTTTCAGACACATTTTACTTGGAGCAGGTTAATGTGACTCAGATTAAAACAAATGACTTCAAGACCCACTGGTAGCATCCACTTGAACCAATTGTGTCTTTCTCTACAGATTAAAAATGTATAATTACCCCAGTAGGTGGGCAAAAAAATAGGACATAAATACTGTACGTCAGCAGTGGCCAGGATAGAAGTCTTTCAGACTGAAGTCGTGGAAAGCCATTACAGGGTATCGGATCTCTGGATTGGCATATGTTTTCAAGGGCGAGTTTTTGAATGAAGTATCAGGTCTGATACAAGTATCGCTGTATCCTACTCTCTCTATGTATATCATATTATTCTGACCTTTGGATTCTCATTCTGACTCTGTTTTCGTGTTTAACGCTACATGTTACGCAAAAAACTGACTATTATATTGAGTGATAATAAGTAACATGTTTCTCTCTCAGGAATACTAAACACAGGTTATTTATGACCTTCCACCTGTACTATTACAAAAACCATGTTCAGGTCCTCATTAATGGCATCCAATAATAATCATATTATTATGTATGGCAGCAGCTGTCCATTACAGCCCCAACGTCCCCTTGTCATCTTACATCAGAATCATCTCATCATCATCTCAATCATTCTCGCCTGTATGACATTATTCAAAACTTTTTATTGCGTTTGATCTGCCTATACATAATCCAGTCTCTCCTGCTCACCTCCGGTGACAATCCAATTGCATTTTATCTCATTTATTAGCTTTGTAATTTACTTCTTTGATTGTTTCAGCAGACTCTGCTTACTCCCAAATACATTCTTTATCGCCCTAACCTGCTGCAAACCCTTTTCTGACATGTCTGGTTGTTAAGAAAACTGAAAAAAGTGTTTTTCTCGTCCCCTTTTTTTTAATGAATACCTATTCCACTATGTAGTTTTCTTGTCTTCTCTCTGAATTTTCAGTGAATTTGCGTTGATAGTTTATTCAAAATTTTTCTTTTACTTTTTAATTTTTTAAATGTTATACCATACTATTTTAACTTTAATGTTTTCAGATATGAGATAAATAATGTTTTATCTTTTACCAGTTTATATTTTGTAACACAGCAACAGCTTTTAACTGCATCACATGCTACCATCGCAGGTGGATTACCTGGACTCCTCAATTCCCTACCATTTATCAATATGGCATGAATACTCTTTGTCCTTATATCCCAGTCATAGATGATTTAATCGTTTACCTAAAAGACTGCCTGACACAAGTGAGTTTTATTATGGTTCACTCTGTGTTAAACGTGACTTCAGGCTCTTCCTTACACCCAGGACTGAGAGGTGAGCTTTTATATGCACATATATTCTGCAGAGAGCAGAGCTTTGGACTGAGTGATCATTTTTTGCCTGCCTTGACATGCTGCCATTCAGAAAACAAGAGATGTTACCAGAGCAACAGCCAAACAATCCACTCCAAAACCTCGCTGCCAACGAACAGAAAGAGGCCAGAAAGGCCAGGAAAAGTCCCAACAACACCTGTTACGACACACCTCGGGGCTCAGCAAAATTCCTGAGCCCCAAGGTGTCCACAGACCTTTACATCCCAACACTGCACAAAATATAATTTTTTTGTGCCTCAACAACATTGTCTGGACAAATCACTTTATTTTTCTAGAAGCGCAGCATATATTATTGAAGATCGTCCACGCAGAGGTAATGCTGAAACTTTATTTTATTAGTTTATTAATTGTGCCAATTGTGATTATGTAATATATAAATCATATACATACATGTGTGTATGTATATATAAATATAAACATATATACTGTATATATGTACATTTATATGTATAAATATACAGTATACAGTACTGCATATACATGTATATATATATATATATGTTTCTTTGAATCAAGCTTTAATAGCATTTTACAACTATCAAATCTGTCTATGGAGAGTCTAAAAAAAATACTGAAAAGTAATTATGACAAGCAGAAAAAAGCTAAATGACAAGTAATGACAAGTGTTTTCATTTTAAAAAATAGTAAAACTTTGACACATTTGAAAGGTTTTTCTTAAGCTAATACCTAAATGAGCAAAACAATTCCAATGCCCACAGATAACTAGTTCTAAATAGAAAAAAAGAAAAAAAATTGCTGTCAGTCAGTCACCGCGCTGTATGTTTTCATCAACAGAATGTAATACATGAATGTAATAAAACTTAACTTCATAACTTTACTCAAGGTGAACAGCAACATCTAAAGTTTCAGAATCAAAGCAGACAGAAGAGCTGATAGAATGAAACATCTGTCTGTGATGCACTCAGTGAAAAAAACCCCACAGAAGACACATCTTAGTGTCTATTCTTCTACGCATCACCACCAAAACTGTATGAAGAAGAGCAGTAATCATTAAAAACAGAGTCGCACAGTGGTTATCATCAGTGACCAAATAAACAACCTGAAATTAACACTTCCAGTGACCGACTCCCCTTCCTCATGGCCTGCGTCGACGCAGAGCTGATTTAGAAAAACTAACAAAAAAAGTGAAACCTAGAGAGCTGTGGATGATTAACTTTTCATAAAGAAAGCATATGAAGTGATTGGCAGTGGACCAAGAAGTTCCTCATGATTCAGAGCCTTGCATTTAATACTCCAGTGTCTGGCAGGAGTCTGAGGCTGACACAGGAATTCGACAACCTTAAAAATAGTACAGTGATGACTGTATGGTTCATCAAAAATTCAGTAGTTTTCCAAAATGCACAAAACAGGCGTCCTTGCCTTTTTTGGATTTCTCTGCATTCTCATTTTCCAGTCTTCAAGTGACTTTCAGAGAAGGAGCCACTGATTAGATCTAACAAATTTAAGCTAAACTACGGCCACGGCACAGACCTGACGAGTCGAGTGTGTGTGTAAAAGTCAAATTCACCACGTCTGTCCTAGTGGGCTTCACAGACGGAAGTGGCGGCAGCAGCTTCTGCCTGGTGGACTCAGAGCGGTCTAATGACTGAGCAAGTGGTGTGGATGAATGTGCTAGAATAACAAGATTGCTGGGTGAGCTCCCCTCAGGGGGCACTCCATGGCTTGGTTAAAAGCCAAGGAGAACTGTGAGCGGCAGCGAAGGAATCCAACCTCAACACAGGAATGTGCACGACTTTGCAGAGTGATCTAGAGCAACACATTACCAACCCAGTGGACCAGGGTCCTCCACGGACTGTGGTTCATCTTCTGCCTGATAATCACTGACCAGAGCCTTTAACCTTCAGTCCATTAGTTTGGTTGAAAGACAGTAAAGAATCGTGCATGGATTATAAATGTCATCTCCTCTGTAGGTGTTAACTTTAACTTCTAAGTTTCATATACATTCGCTAGTTTGCTAGGAACCTCACGACAAGAGAGAACTTTCGCAATATCAAATGACGACTTTGATCGCACTCCAGGACTCTGCTGCTTATTCTTTTTCATTTTTAAAAAAATGTCTTATCCCACATCCTAGACATGCATTTCTGTCTGAAACTCCTTCCTGTGAGCAAGTGTCCCATATGGAGGCAGACATGCTACAGTGGGCCAGAGATGTGTAAACTTGGACGTTCCAAAACATACAACTGCCTGCTGCCAAGAACTGGATCATTTCAAGCAGTTTTCTGCACAAATGCGGCGGCAAACGCTTTTCTTGATCTTTGCAAACTTTCCCTCCGAAAGCGCTGGGTTCTGACCAATGACGAGAGACAGGTGCAGACGATTAATAAACAGGGACATGGCACTGGGAGAAATGACCGCGCTTGAACGGCGATTATTACTCAGTTTGTCTGATGTCGCTTTTACTGTTTATCCACACTGACCAAAATCCCAAAGGAACCTGGTCATCCAGAGAAAGACCAAATCCCCGAAAGTTAACGCAAAGAAATGAGGGAATCAATAATAGACAAAACCAACAAATGAAAACATTGAAAATAATATAACTGAATTGTTGTGAACTTCCTTAAATTGTTCAGACAAAATCTTAAGAAACTTCAGGCCTAATGAGTCAACATTCACCCTTTATCACTGGTTCCCAAACATTTTATCTGCATCTTTGTTCATAAAGCATGCCGTTACATTTGCATACATTATTTATAATGATGTGATAACAAGCCTAATAACTTGGAGTAATGCGGAAAAGAACTGCTTTAGGAGGGAGGGAGTTTGGCCCTGCTGGCAGTAGCAGATCAGACGGTGTCCCACAGCCATATGGAAGTGTTTTGCTTCCCCAGTCATGTCCCGTCGGGTTCTACAAAAGTGGCGACTACTGCATACGCTGATCTCCGTACTCTCTCTGTAGTCGGCCAATGTGAAAAAGATGGCACAACCAGATTTGATTTGTAACAACGTACAAGACGTATGAACTCGGGCGAATAAGGAAAGTAAGAAGAAGTAGCTCCAATATCAAACACTGCAGTGTGCCAAGGCACACTTCCACTGAAAACACAATCTCTGCTGATTACGTTGTGACTAATCTTTTGAGTTCTTCATTTGTTCTGGTTCTTTATCTGGCAGGAGCCGGAGGCTCTCTGCCTGACGTAGAAGCTTTGGTTTTCAAGGACACTCCCAATTTCACTGTTAAAATCGATGAGTTTATTCCCTCTTGGCACAGACCTGGTACACAAGTCACTGTAGAGCTTTTCTTTAAAAAAAAAAAAAAAAAAAGGTTTCAAGCCTCACACTTTTAGTTCCGGAGGAATTTGAGTAAAAGTGCAGACAAGCAAAGTCCTGCATTATCAAGTTAATCAAACAGAACTGAGAAAAGTGCTTTTTGACATCCTTTTCTTTACCCCCAGGTGATTAGATAGCACTTGATGTTTTGTCGTCTACACAGAGCTGCTGAAAGACCAAAGCAGCAGAGGGAGAACAGCAACAATGCTCCTTTTGTCCTGGACTAACACTGTACCTAGCGGCCTGCTCTCTGATTGGCTTCCAAGACAAACCACTCTGTAAAGTTTCAGCTCTTGTAGCAAAACAATCAGCGCTTGTGTTTTATATGCTATAGACTGTCAGCAATCAGCTGGCTGTCAGTCAGGACACACACACACACACACACACACACACACACACACTTTATATAATAAACATAAATCTCACTCTACAAACTACGCTAACAAAAAGTAGCTTCTACTCCATGCGGCTAATACTCCATCAGTGTTGCAGCGATCAGATGTGTGTATTGAGCAAATATTATGCATCTTTGCAGTTATATATATATATAAAAAAAGTCAAGCCATATATTTCATGATAAAGGAGCACTTGCTCTTTCTAGATTACCATTGCAGCTGGGATTTGAAAACTTTTTAACCCCTATGCAGTGGTTCTCAAACTATGGTATGCATACAACTGGTTATACTCAGGCTCCCTCTGGTGGTGAGCAAGGGAATTTCTTCTATTAGTAAAATAGTAGAGGTACATGAAATTAAGAGATAAAAACTATGGCAGGTGTACTGTAGCTCCAAACCAGAATTCTCAAAAAAAAAAGAGGTAGGAAACACAGGGAATATTGATACTTTTATCCAGTAAACTGTGTTTGGTTACAGCACTAAATTTAAATGCTAATCATCTTTGTATACATTTTGTTGATCTGAACTGTGCTGTATTTAAATGTTGGCCGTAATGGTGGTACTTGGAAGGACACATTTTTGGGTGGGTGGTACGTTGTGTTATAATAATGTTACACAGAGGAGAGTTATTGGTTTTGCAACACATGATAATATACATTATTAGCGTAGAAATAAAGTAGAGGTTTGAATTCAGGCATGATGTTTTTCAGCTAAGCCTGTAAGAAGATATAAATTTAACACGGCGTGGGACTGATAAGCGTGTTTGCACAGTGACACAGTCTTCTTTCATCCACCCATTCTCCAATCTGATGTGGAAATACTCACATCTAAAGAAAGCATGTGCTCTATATAAAAAAACCCACAGTCTGTTTCTCTGTCAGTATCATGTTCTTATCAAGGAGAGCAGCTTAGCTCAATATATTTATATATATATTTAAGATTTTGATTGAACTTGTTTGGAACACAGGGTGAGAGAGGGCACACGGTCCTTACAGGTGTCATTTTTTTGCACATGTGAACTAAACCATCCTCAGGTTAACATGTAGCAGTGTATTATTAGTCATTTTTGTCATGTCTTATTTTACTGGATGATACAGTTTATTACTTCTGATTCTGGAATGGTGATGAATTATGAATAAAGGTGATCATTTCAAAAACACAAGCCTCTCAGGTTTGGTGGGTTTAACTAGAGATCTAGTCAATGTAACATTTAGTTTCTGGACTGTTGATCAGACAAATATCATCTCAGTCGTATTGTCAAAATAAACTTTGCTTATCGTAAATACAGCATCAATATTTAGATAATCACATTGTAATTTAACAGGACAGGACCTTTAAATCCTTTAGAGCTTCAGCATGGATCCTCCGCATTACACAGCACAACAGCGCCCCCATTGGGTTGTTATCATTTAATACAAATACCACAAGATGAAGACGTTAAAAACAAAGCACAGGAAGAAATTCAGAAACTTCAAGCTCTGCGGAGAAAAATGCAGTCCTTACCTGCGGCTGGTTTTCTTCCCACGCTCCTCCTCCAAAGGCTCTGCTGCTTTCTCTCTATCTTTGTCTAATTTTAACTTTTGGTTGACAAGCTGCCTCATCCTCTCTTTTGTGTCAGAATCATAGTCTTCATCTTCGTCCATGTCACTGTCAGCATCGCCGTCAACCTTGTCGTCATTTGTCTGAAAAAATACGTTGAAACTCACATTTAGTCACTGGTTAACAACTCACTAAAAGATGCATATCATGAGATTTACCTCTGCTGCATCTCCAGGTGGCCTTTTCTTCTTCTTCCTTCAACAGAGAAGAAAAATAGAATTCATAAATTGGACACATTAAACAATGTATGAGAATTAATTAACTGTTAATTATTTTTACTTCTCAACTGCTGGAACAGAGCTGAGTCTGGGATCATCTTTCAGAAGGTCATGGCTGCTTTTGCTTTTTCCCTTAAATGTCTAATAAAACACAGGACAGAAAATTGACTGAGACCTTTTATAGGCAGGACGGAGGTGGAACACACACACACCCACACCCACACACACACACACACACTTTTACCTGGCTGACTTGATTCACCATCTCTTCTTCCTCTTCAGCTTCTTCTCCAAAGGACAACAGACTAAAGTTCCTGAAGCAATTATTACAATGTCACATGTCTTTTTCACCGAATTATGTTGACAAACACAGCAGCCAGAGCTGGAAATTACATGTATGTGGTCTAGTCAGTGGTCTAGTCAGTGGCCCAGTCAGTGTCAGTCAGTGATGTATTCAGTGGTCTAGTAGCCCGCCTGGGCCGTCTATGCTGATGGGTGAACAGAATGCCACCTCCGAATGAGAAAAGTTGTATCGTCTGTGAATACTACCACACCAAATGGTCAAATATGATATTGCAGACACTGTCGCTTACTCCCTAATGTGTAAAAAATGTAAAAAGTCAGATACTGACAACAGTGTTTCCTAAACAAAAGACACTCAGAGAACTCACTTTGTTGCTTTCAATTGTGATTTCCTTTCCTCCTCTTTGTCTTTTTCCTTTCTGTTTTTCTTTTTTTCCCGGGGCACTATGTCATCAAAAGGTGAATGAAGCACCTAGGAAATACAGTAGCAGTTTGTAAAGTGTTGGAAACACTAGAAATGTAAAAATAGAAGTGGAACATACCTCAGCGGATCTGATTTTGTGTGGATTCAGAGGTCTTTCATCTTGGTCACATGCAACTTCTACTAATCTGAGCAAATTGTAAATTGTGTCTCCAGTGACCTGTAATGGTGAAAGAGCAAGAGATGCTAGATTTTAAAATTGTTACCATGGGATTCATTAAAAAAAAACAAACAAAGATGACATTTTGCAGAAAAACATGATGAAATAGATTATAACTACTATTCTACCTTGCCAAAAATGGTGTGTTTGTTGTTGAGCTCATCCGCACGTGCCAAGGTGAAGAAGAACTGACTGCCATTATCATGTGGCCCAGAATTGGCCATGGCGACTAAACCTCTGCGGATGAAACGCAGTCTGGAGTGGAATTCATCCTGAAAAGTAATAAGAAATTAACAAAGTCAGTATGAGTGTGACAAACATGTTGAGTTTACTATCTACTAAATTAAAGGTTGTCAAACTTGTCTACAGGAATAAAACGCTGGTGTCATCACTGATTGACTGATGAAACTACAGTAGATTAAACAAGAATGAGAAGTAGACAAAAAACAGAGTAAAGTAAAGTTCTAAAGTAAAGAAACGCTCTGACCTTGAATGGTCGACCGTAGATGGATTCTCCACCTGTCCCTGTTCCAGTTGGATCTCCACCTTGTACAATAAAGTCAGGCACCACTCTGTGGAATATTGTTCCATTGTAGTAACCTAGGTAAAGGAAGGAATTACATAAGACACAGGAGTCACAGTTTACTAGACTGATAATCAATCAACATTCAATAACTTCATCTACTGGTAATCTCAAATCTAAAAGTCTTTATTCAGTGTTTTGCTCATTGATCATTGATATATTAATTCAAGATTAAGTGTATTATACTGTATTTTTTATATATGTCTAGGTGTCAGTCTGTTTACTGTATTTTGTGTTAAAATAAGAGCACAACAATATATATAGGGAAGATTATAATTCACATTTATATATTTTATGACTTTTTATAACTACATTCATATAGTAAAACTGTAATCTTGTTAATGTCTTCTCATTCATTTTTTGATTATTGACTTGTTGTCTTGTTTACAGTAATCTTACCTTCCATGCACAGCTGTACAAAGTTCCTGCATGCCTTTGGTGCTTCCTTGGACCACAACTCAATGTCAATGTCACCTGCCGAGGTCTTTAACAGGACCTGAAGAGATATTATTTAGAGGAACATAAGTAGAACTAAAGATAATATTTAGACGTATTTGTCTACTTGAAGTTATCCATATGAACGAATTAAGAGCTCTGCAAAGGTAACATGGCATCTATGCAGATAAAGGACATAAGTGACTATGCATCCATGCATTTTAATTTTGAGACAACGACATCTTTAGCATATCGTGCAGGGCTTCGTTGAGTGAACGCAAAAAGAAAGATTAATGGGTTTGGTTTCAAATAAGAAAAATTGCGCTCACCTTTCCATTAGTTGGAGGCTCTTGAATGTAAATATTGCTCATTCTGAGACCTCTGTTCCTTATGTCACACAACAAAAATAGTTTTTTTTCGATTTCTACCTTTAAGATCCAAAGACAGTTGGCCTGTCTATGTTTGACTTAATCAATCTCGTTTACAAACAACACATTTCACACCATCCTGTATGCAGCCATATTGTCCATAAAGGTAGACTGTTTACTGAATATTATGGGGGGTAATACAAAAATAATTTCAATTAGCTTTCTCCTAGCAACCATTTAAAATAATGTAAAAGCCTTGATGCTGATATTAAGTAATCACTATACACGAGGATGGTTTGGCAAACTCGCTGTTAGCGGGAATTTCTTTTTGAAAATATCGTCCTGTGATAAATATATCCTATGTTTGGCTTTTGGTTTAACCCTGGTGTTCACTAAAACATGGTACCCCAACGCATCTAATGAATAATTTAGTTCCACTAAATGTGTGTTAGCCACAGCGCTTCCAGATAATAGTCAACACATATTAGTCTGTTCCAATAATTACAAAAACGAGAAATTAAATATTAAAAACACACGAATTGATTTTTTTCAACAAAGTAAAGTTATGGCGGTTGATGGGAAAAACGGAAGTACCCGAGTTGGGGACGGACGGAACTGTACGGGGAATGTGAAGCAATGGCGGAGTCGGAAAACAAAGCAGAGTTAAAACGAAAAGCAGATGAAAATAAGGATGGCGAAGGTAAGGAAGGAGAAGAAGAGGAATGGGTTGGACCTATGCCGAGCGAGGCCACGAAACCAAAGAAAAGGAAAGGTTCGTTAGACTTTATTTATGTCCTAATACTTTGAACATGCGATTCCCGCGTTACTAACTAAATGCATGCTATCATGAGCAAAGCTTACTTTAAGTATCTATGTTTCAGTTTTGGAATTTGAGCGGGTTTACCTGGACAACCTACCATCAGCTGCTATGTATGAGAGGAGCTACATGCACAGGGACATTATTACACACATAGTTTGCACCAAGTAAGTCATGAATTAGCATTAGGTCTACAGTACAACTATTCACATTGATATTGAACGCAGGATGCTTTAAGTATTTATTTTTAATGAGCAGCTTATTGTAGTTTTACTATGAGAACAGAATCGTTCATTTGTCTATCTGTTGTGGTCAAATATATACAAAAAGGCCCCAGGGCTATGTTTCCTACGACTAAAAGGCAGTGGAAGTCCATATTATTTTTCTCTCCTTTCAAAAACACTAGTCACAATTTCCATGTCTGATAATCTGACCACTATTTTCCCTTTTCTTTAGAACTGACTTTATCATCACAGCCAGCCAGGACGGCCATGTCAAATTCTGGAAGAAAAAAGAGGACGAAGGAATTGAGTTTGTCAAACACTTTCGAAGTCATTTGGGTAAAAGTTCTAGCGATCATTTATTCCTTGTAGGATACTCATGAAAGACAGACCTGGTGTTATGTGACATGTTGTTTCTTTAGGTGTCATCGAAAGCATTGCAGCCAGCTCTGAAGGAGCGCTTTGCTGTTCTGTTGGGGATGATCAGGCCATGAAAGTGTTTGATGTTGTCAACTTTGATATGATCAATATGCTGAAGTTGGGGTGAGTCTAAATTCTATAAAGGTTAAAATTAAGTTTCATCTGTCATTTAAAAACATGATGACAGCAGTGATGCATTTTTATTTTTTTGAGCAGATACCATCCAGGACAGTGTGAGTGGATCTATAATCCCGGCGATGCTATTTCCACAGTGGCCTGCTCTGAAAAATCCACAGGAAAAATCTTTGTCTATGATGGACGGGGAAGCTATGAGCCCATTCATGTGTTCGAAAAAATGCATTCCTCACCATTGTCTCAAATCCGTCTAAATCCCAAATTTAGAGTCATTGTTTCTGCTGATAAAGCTGGGATGCTGGAATACTGGACTGGCCTGCCAAGTGAATTCAAGTTCCCCAGAAATGTGGAATGGGAATACAAAACAGACACAGACTTGTATGAATTTGCGAAACACAAAACATATCCCACTGGCCTGACATTTTCTCCTGATGGGAAGAAAATGGCTACCATTGCTTCTGACAGGAAAGTCCGGATCTTCCGTTTCCAAACAGGAAAACTGATGAGAGTTTTTGATGAGTCATTATCGGTACGTAATCACAGTATTCAGAGCTTCACTGATATTTTGCAGCATGTATTCCTTTACTGATCACACTTTGTGTGTGTGTGTGCGTTAGATGTTCACTGAGTTGCAGCAAATGAGACAGCAGCTACCGGACATGGAGTTTGGGAGACGGATGGCTGTAGAGAGAGAGCTGGAAAAAGTTGATGGCATCAGATTGACAAATATTATATTTGATGAGACTGGACACTTTGTGCTCTATGGAACCATGCTGGGAATCAAGGTCATCAATGTAGAAACCAACAGGTATGATTACACACTCAATCATCCCCTATTGGATTATAGAGAAAAGATACAATGTTTTAAAATATTATTTTTTAATTTCACTTGAGTTTCCATTGACACATCAGACCAGCTAACATCTTGTAGTGACATCATTTGGATACTTTGCAGGGACAACAAAACAGTAACTGCTGTATGTACCCATCTGAGATTTTGTATTCCTGAAAATTTAGTTTCCCCCCCCCCCCAATTCCCTTTTTGTTCAGATGTGTGCGGATTCTTGGGAAGCTGGAGAACATCCGTGTGGTGCAGTTGAGTTTGTTTCAGGGTGTTGCGCTGGCCATGAAAGTGGCCCCCACTGTGGAGATGAAGGCTTCAGACAACCCTGCGTTAGACAACGTGGAGCCTGACCCTACCATACTGTGCACAGCATTTAAGAAGAACCGTTTTTACATGGTAATGCAGCATGACATTCAATTTAAGATAATAATCAAAATGACAACCTGCTTCTGTCTGTGTTAATGTTCTTGTCTAATTTCTAGTTCACAAAAAGGGAGCCAGAGGATACAAAGAGCGCAGACTCCGACAGAGACATCTTCAATGAGAAGCCTTCCAAAGAGGAGGTGATGGCTGCAACACAGGCTGAGGGCCCCAAGAGAGTGTCTGACAGCGCCATCATTCACACCACCATGGGAGACATTCACATCAAGCTCTTCCCTGTAGAGTAGGTTTCATTCACAGTTGTCTTGGTTTTTGTCCATAATCTCTTTATATATCACAAAATAATGACCCAAACTTTTCTCTTTTGCTTGTTAGATGCCCCAAAACTGTGGAGAACTTTTGTGTCCACAGCAGGAACGGCTACTATAACGGCCACATATTTCACAGAGTAATCAAGGTGAGGTTTTCTGAAGTTTTTCAGGCAAAAAGCATCCAGATATCTGCTGCTGCTTCGTTTAAATCTCATTCTGTTTTGTGCACAGAGCTTCATGATTCAGACGGGCGACCCCACAGGAACAGGCATGGGTGGTGAGAGCATCTGGGGCGGAGAGTTCGAGGACGAGTTCCATGCTACGCTGAGACATGACCGGCCGTACACACTCAGTATGGCTAACGCGGGTGCCGGCACCAACGGCTCACAGTTTTTCATGACTGTTGTGCCCACTGTAAGTCAGCAGTTACAACAGTTTTTTTGTTAATTGTGGGTTTTGTGCAAAGCTGTGTAGTTTTCCTGAAAAAATAATTTCACCCTCAGGGACAAAGTCAAGTCAAAAGTGAAAAATAAATCTGCATTCAGTTTGTATTGTATGTTGTCTTTGCTGCAGCCTTGGCTGGACAATAAGCACACTGTGTTTGGAAGATGCATCAAAGGCATGGAGGTCGTCCAGAGGATCTCGAACCTCAAAGTCAACCCCAAAACTGACAAACCATACGAAGACATCAGCATCATCAGCATCACCATAAAGTAGCCTTTTATTTCCTGTACAGTGATTTCTTTTTTTTAAACCCGTAACTCATTAAAGAATACTTTTTACCAGGTTTTTTAAGTATGTTTCCTGTCTTTTAATGTTGTTAAAGTCTCTTTATAAACTCCATTAGCCCAGACAGAAAACTGCCATCAGGTCACTTCAGGTTAATCAGTTTATTTTACAGCAAAACATTATGAATAATTTACAAAAGCTGTTATTGAGTCCACTGGTAACAAAGGTTTCGATGAGCATTGTGCTTCTGCATTTCATAAATAAACAAATGTTTTTCACAAACAAAATGAAAAGGCTTGTCAAATATGTGTTTTTTATACATAAGTACAAGTAGTGAACACTAGTGTACACACTGTAGCTATGAACAAAGGTTAATTTAAACACATTCTGTTTCTTCTGTTAGGATAACTGTTAGTGTCAGGTGTTTCACATTACATTCCTGAAGCTGGAGATTAAATGTGTACCACGTCATGAGCACTCCACATCAACAGGACTCAAGTCAGAGGTTAGAGTACAAATATTTTCATGATACATTTTTTTTTCATTTGCATTGGGACTGAATTAGTAAATAATTCAAATAGCTTCCAAATAAAAACTGGTGAGGCAGCAGACAAGTGCGTTTGACACGCCACGTACAGAGATCTCAGAATCCATGCAGTAAAAATGCGCTCCCTCGCACAGCCTCACTGTCCCTCCCTCGAGTAACGCCCTGGTTCCCGCATATAAAAAAAGTTCAGTAAACAATTTTGTTCTGTAACAGGAAGCCCATCATTCACATCACTGACTGTGTCATTTTAAGACAAAGTAGTTAACAGTAACTCATTTCATACACGGTGAAAATAAAACAGCACTTGATCTTAAAGAGTCCATCAGACCTCTGTCGTTTGCTGCTCTCAGGAGAAGACTACACAGCTCAGCCTAACAATATGTGAAATCATCAGGCTTCATGGCGACCTTCTCACTCAGCTGCACACACACTGGCTCCGACTGTAACCTAAAGACATTGTATCATACAGTAAGGACTACTCTGGGCTCGGTCGATGATGTTGTACAGTGTTAACATTTTACATGGAGATATACAGATGTAGCCCACCGATCTACTGTAGGACATACGAAGCATTTCTAACATTCAGCTAGTTCACGAACTGTACATACTTAGATAAGAACTGAAGATGAATTGAACTCTAGCGTAATTTATATGTTAAACTGTGTACAATATGCCTAAAAAGTCAAGAAAGATTCGATTTTGAATGCTTAATGGTACATTATGTAATTATGTTTGGTATGAGTTATTATGAATTTCTAACTAAATTTAAGATACCGTATTTTCCGGACGCTTGTGTTAGTAGTTCGACTGGTCCTTCAACTACCTATATAGCTACCCATAGCTAACCTATTCCCGAGCGCCACCACTGCGCCACCAAGACCTGCATAAACAATACACAGAAAAGCCATACTGCAGAATTCAAACTGCAGATTATAAAGTATGTCGACAATAACAGCTATCGATTAGCAGAAAATAAACCGACGGACTAACGGACGGTGACGGAGAGTCAGTCTCTGAGGATGAAACTGTGTAAATGAATATTGTTTCCTAATGGGATTCTTGTGAAATCAGATTCAATCCATTTTTCCCTCTTCATGATGTATTTTTTGAACAGAAGCGACTTATACTGGTGTGATACAGTCCAGAAAACACGGTCATCTCCATTTACTGTGGCTATGAGAGTAAAGATGTGTTCGTGTGGTTGTGTTTAAAGCCTTTGCTGATTTCTGTCCTGTCACAGGAGAAGCTCACCTCCTGTGGGTGCTGCTTTAATTTTACAACCACTCTGTATCACGACTGCCCCTTCAGCACTGGTAGAAACTGCTTATACTGCATTAAACCTAAAAGAAGATAAAAGCCAAGAGTCTAATTGGGCAGTAAAATGTAAACACCTAGGTGACACCTAGGCCACATCCAGGACACCAGCAGCCACCAGCTGTCTGGACAGCCAGTCCAAACCTTCATGGAGGCCCATCCCACTGCGGGCGTCGCAGCCCTGAATGTGCCAGCTCCTGCCACAGCACAGTTTGTGTAGACTCAGTAGCTCCGTCATCTCCTCTACGGAGACGACTCCGGGAACATCCTGCAAAGCAGCAACAAAGTCATTAACCCCCTAGTGGACAAATGAACGTACGGCGTCAGCTCTTGTATTCGGCAGTACGTAGTTTTAGTACCTGTTTGTTTGCAAAGATGAGCAGCAGGGCATCCCTCAGCTCCTTCTCCGTCAGCAGTTTGGCCAGTTCACTGTGAGCCTCCATCAGTCTGTCTCTGTGGCAGCTGTCGATCACGAACACCACGGCTGCACACAGGCAAATGTTAGACTGATTAAGTAGCAGCAGCTTCCTGAGCATGACCTGCAGAACATGTACATGTAGAGAACCATACGTTTTACCTTGAGTGTTGAGAAAGTAGTGTTTCCACAGTGGTCGGAGCTTATGCTTCCCACCCACGTCCCAGATGGTGAATTTTAGATTTTTATATTCAACAGTCTCCACATTAAAACCTTTAAAGAGACAAAAAAAATCATACGGGTAAACAAAAAAACAGACAGGATTTTTTATTAGGATTAATAAGAAAGTAACAAACAAAAACACACACCAATGGTTGGAATGGGCTGCATGAACTCATCCTGCTTCAGCTTAAAAAGGATGGTGGTTTTCCCGGCTCCATCCAGCCCGAGTGTCACAACACGGATCTCCATCTTTGGACCAATGTGAACCCGGTTGTCCTGCAGATTAAATCAACGATGTTTGAGTGTGAACGCTGGACATGAAGTCCTTGCTGACCGACGGTGTGAGTGAGTACCTTAGTGAAGGTGACAGGGATGCCAGCATCCAGCTGAATATGATCAGCCAGCTCTGTGAACTGGTGCTGCTGCTTCTGCAGAGTCTCCAGCAGACAGTTGATCTCCTGCTTCGCCAGCACGACTCGGCAGTCATCCTGCCAGTGACCAGAGAGGGAGACAGAGAGCGGGAGAGGGAGAGAGTGAAGGGAGAGAGAGAGGAAGAGAGGGAGAGAGACATAAAAATGTGTTCCACTATGATGGCAATAATACAGAACACTGGGATTAACCCAGGACTCTCTGCTCGCAAGGCTGACGTGCTAACTGCTACACTATGGAACCACACAAAGTGTGAGTCTTTGCAATCAACACAGGTTGCCACAGGAGGCGCCATTGTGCGTCCTCTAATGTTGCATTATCTAACCTTATTTACTTGACTTACATCAATGTATCTTTTCTTGCATAATCCTAATTTATTTATTATCTTATTTTCACTTACATAACCTAATCTCATCTCTAAACAGAAAGACTATTAAATCCAGTCAGAGGAGCCCCCCCCCCCGCCCCCCGGCTGTATAAAGGCCTCTCCGTACAGTACCTGCTGCAGTGTTTTCTCACAGTGTAGACAGGCTGTGGACACCTGAGACAGCAGGATAGTCATGTCCTCCTGCTGCTGCCTCAGCCAGATCAGCCTCTCCCTCACGTGAGCGTCCACCACGCTCAACGCCATCTCCTCCTGCCGACACAGAGTCTCGTGGAGGTCGGCGAAGTAAGCACGGACACAGGAGCGGGCGCTCTCTGCTGTGCCGGGAACCTGAAAATGAAAAGCGGAAATACCTGATTGAAGAAAAAGGAGCCCCGGTTAGAACTCAAGGAAGTCCACGGTCATTTCTTACATGTTCGGTGTGTGCCATCCCAACTTCGTCTTCGACTATTTGCTCTCCACCTTCTATTTGCTGCACGATGCCCACCAGCTTCCTGGAGTACTCGGACACCTCGTCTGTGAAGGTGCGGATGCAGTGGGCCATGTCCAGAATGGACGCACGGATCTGATTAGCTTCTGTCTCAAGAACAGCATGCTGGGAATAGAAGGGTGAAATTGTCTGCTCTGTCAGGTCCTTCTGATAAAAGTGAAGAACATTTTGTGTCTCTCTCTCTCTCTCTCTCTGTTGGAATAGATTATAGCTGCGATCCCAAACTTTGTCCTGAGGTGTGTCCAGATTGTTAAAGGATTGATAAGGATTGATACATTTTCAAAATAAAATACCTTTAAGACTTTACTGGAGTCTGAAAGGTTTGAAAATTATTTTGAAATGTTGCCTGAATTAACTAAGGTAGTTTCACTTTAAATTAAATATTTTTTTTAGTATTTTCTCTGTTACTTAGTAGTACTGACACACAGACTGGTACTGGTCAGAGGACCAGGGGTTGGGAACCCCAAACAGATATAATATAATATAATATATTTGAGGTACAAACATTGACTTAACTTGGCTTGAATATTAACCAGAACGTTGCCAAGTAACCATGACCAGATGAAGTACTGTACCTTGTGTCCCTGGTGCTTGCCGTACTCTTTACACACGCAGCACATAAGAGGCCCAGACTGACACGCCTCCTCCAGACAGACAAACTCAATGGCGTGGACCTGATGCTGCGGACACAGAGTCTTCTCGTGGGGCTTGTCAGCCAGCGGCACCTGCCGGTGCTTGGCCAGGGTGCGGGTGGAGTGTGTGAGCTGGGAGCACTCAGCGCACAGGTGGGTGGCACACACGGTGCAGTACATGGAGGCCGTGTGGCTTTCATCCTCGTCACAGCGTATTATACACTGAATAAAACAAGGCAAACCAATGAAAACACTGAAGCAGACGGAAGGAGAAACTGAAAACTTCCAGTCAGGGGTCCTTACCTCTCCCATGCCTTTCAAAGTGTCCTCGGCCATGCCTGATTGGTTGGACGCTCCGTTCTGGAGTCGCTCCAAGAGTTCAAGGAGAGCAAAGTTCTTTTTCAGGCCCCAAACACCTGAATCACCTAAACACACGTTTGGGAAGAAAAAAAAGTCATCATCATGGCAGCACAGAGAAACACAACACACCAAATAAAAGATAAACACTTTGTGTTTATCCAACAGTTTTCTGCGTTTTTCCTTTACTTGTCGAGGCATGTGTTTACCACACCCACAGTCACACAACACTGCTGTATCTGACTCACATCTTCTTCTTCTCCCAGTCACGCACTCTCTCAGTAATACAATACTGAGGATAATTTGATAGACCTCCATGTTAGAGGACCACCAGCTCCCCACGGGGAATGGCTACCACTTCTCAACATTGTGTCATCAAACAACCACAGCATCAAACTTGGGCTGTGTGTAAATTAATATGGAGAAAAACATCATTTATCATATTTACAAATGTATAGTTATCACCATTAATCATGATTGTGATTATTCACTGTGAACTCAAGAATAATCATGATTAATCCACAACTTATCATCACCTTATCATTTTGGTAGCCCGACTTTACAGCGCTGGCCACTTGACTGCTGCTTACACACCTTTTTCTGGTCAAACTCATTTTTGTATCAGAATTTCCACCTGTGGTTGGATGAACTGATGACCTTAATGGTCTGAGTGGAGTCAGCTAAAAAAAACCTTTCACTATTTATTGTGGACCCCAATCAAACTCCATGCACAGAGTTTGTGTGTTTCAACATAACCAAACATAAAGGTATTTACACAAGAGCACTGATGTCACGCATTATTAAACCTCTCTCTCTCTCTCTGTCACTGTCTCTCACCCAGCTCTGTGACTTGTCTGTCGAAGGGGCAGCGGACTGCTCTGCCATGGAGAGGCAACCTGGTAAGACAGTCGTGACACACTGTGTGGCCACAGAGCAGTAAGCGAGGGACCTTGTCCCCCTGCAGAGAGAAGACGTCCTCACAGACACCGCACTCCAGCACCTGGAAAGTAAACACACACAACATAAAATTGTTCATCTTCAACTAAGTCATGTTATCTAAGTGTCATCTCAACTTTATTAGAAAATACGTTTTTTATTGTCAAGTGCAGGCACATAGTGGTTTTCAAACTACGGTATGCATACCACTGGTTGTCCTCCCTCTAGTGGTACATAAGGAAATCAGCTGTTTATATTAGTACTTGCTTGGTATCATCAGTGTGTGTGGTTTCATAATTAAACTGGAGTGTCAGTTGTGTGGCTACTCACTGTACAGTGTGGTTTTGGATGATAATCGGATTAGAAAATAAATTCTCTCCTTTGTATACTGTACTAGGCTGAAGAATGGAGTGGAGAGTGGAAAACTGATATCAGGATATATATATATATATATATATATATAAAAACAACAACTTAAAACACAACTGTAGCCAGCAATTAAAAATGGACTCAAGAGAAGTGTGTGTACGTCATGGATAATGTACACAAATATACAGGAGTATGCTTTTGGGGAGTTTTCTCAGCAGTTGATGTACTAGAGAAAATGCATCATATTTTAAATACTCTGACATGGAAAGAAGAATATAAAGTCAATATTTAATCTATACATTCTCTAACATACATCTATGTCAGAGAGCACTGATTCTGTGTAGATTTACACAGACAGACGTTTCTATTTACAGTTATGTCGGTTAGCAGTTTTTTAGCGTCTGTGTCAAAATGATGGAGAGTCAGAATTACGGCACAAACAAGTCGTTTTCACAGAAAAAAACGTTTTTCGCTAATTTAGTTCACAGTACTATACATTCTTATCACGTTAAAGTGGTATTCTTCTGAAGTTTTAACCACATCACCCATGTTCAAGTCATATGTCCACATCATAATAAGGTCGAGATCGGATTACATATGCCGGTGACCTAACCTAGGTAACCCGAGAGGAGACATTTCAATGAAAGTAGATGGCGACAAGAGCTGAAATACTTGTAATCTTTGTACAAAATACACGTTACAGGTCCGGACTTGGTATAAACTGATCACGTTGCTAAGATCTGCAGTGAACCACCTTCAAGTACGAACGCCAACTAGCGATGGTAAACCAGCACCACACCACACTCAACACCAACAATGCTGCTGCACTGTAGGAATGCGGACACACATGTATGCAAATGAGTGAGATATATTACATTTTATTCCTATGCCTTTTTATTGTACACACAGACAGCAATAATATGTGTGTGTGTGTGTATGTTTTCTGTCGCCAACGCAGCAGCATTTAGAAGCTGCGGAGGTGGCCACCGTTTGCGGGTGTAAAGCAACAAAACACAGCAAACATAATCTCTATATGGATTTTAAAAACAGAAATGTTACCTTCACGGTGCTCCCGTTAGCTCCTCTGCCGTGTCGAATGCACGGCTCCATCGTCGCTACAGCGCCCTGCTTGTTTATTCCTGATGCGGCAGCGGCCATTCTTGGACGACAGCGCAGAGAACAAGCAGGTGTAAGAGGATGAACCCCCGACAACTTCCGGTTTCGTCTTTTCAGTGAACAGCTGTCTGGGGTAGCCTAAGCTTAATCACTTTGTAAGCACAAAACGTACAAACGTAGCGACAGATGTTTAGGTGCAATGATATTACACAGTATCGTAACTTTAACCCGTAAAATAATTTTACATGCGCGTGTACGGTACTTTATCCCTTTCTTCTTCTTCAGTTTCTTTGTTATTATTATTATTTTTACTACTACTACTACTACTACTAATAATAATATTATTATTATTAGTGTTATGGCTTTAATCTACTATCCCTCGACTTGAATGTAATGGATATTGATTTCATACTCCTTACCGAATGGTGGCAGTAAAGAGACTTAACGTTGTTAGCAAGCCTCCAACGCGCCTTACAACAATGACGTATTTTGTGTGCGCCTCTTCCGGACCAAACAAACAGCAGTACATGCTCTGCATTGGTTCAATGTTTAGTGTATACATTTAAGACATTTATTTTAGTTTATCTGTATTCGTAATACAGTCTGCCTAGATTATTGCGCCATAATCCGTATTGAAAAAACGATTAACCGTTTTAATAAATATAGTTTGTTCGTATTTTATTTGCTAACTTTTTCCCTGTAACTTCTGTCCCCGTTTCTATAATCGATGTCTCAACAAACTCAACAAAACGTACCGTCCGCACCTGACTCGCCTGCTCTGGTGGTCACCTCTAACGTCCAGAAGTACGCTATTAAGAAGAAAAAAATCCTTACTGCTGAGGAAACTGAACTGTTTGAACTAACCCAGGCTGCAGGCATCACTATTGACCAAGAGGTCTTCAAGTAAGTGTGCTAATGCTAACGCTAGTTCTACGCTTGTTCTGTCTGTATGCTAATATAAACATGAAGCTATGTTTACAGCCATCTTTTTGTTTCTTTATTCATCCTGTCAGAATTATCGTGGATCTGTTGAAAATGAACGTGGCTCCTCAGGCAGTCTTCCAGACTCTGAAAGCTATGTGTGCCGGTCAAAGAGTGGCTGACAGCTGTGGAGGCGAATCAGTTTCAGTCAGTGTCACAGCAGCACCGGCAGAAACCAGAGGTCAGTGTCTGACAGCAGCACTTTAATAGAGACCAGCCTTTTTTTTAACCACATTATGTCTGGATATGCAAAGCACTCGTGTTTTATAAACTGTAAAACGTTTGACCAAAATGATTATTATTTCACATTTTATTCTCATTTATCACATTTCATAGGCATAGTATTTTCAATAATCTCCATAACAATAACGATAAAATAACTTGGATTTGTATTGCACCTTTCAGGACACCCAAGGCACTTTACACAAACATGGACAGGGCTAAGGTGGAGTAGAAAGAAATAGATTAAAGCGAAGAGGGAGGAAAACAGTTATAGGCAAAAAAAAAAAAAAACCTAGACTAGAAAAAAATAAAAAATACACTAGGAAAAGGCTGAGAGTTGAGAGTTTTATGACAGATAGGGAAACACCATTGGAAAAAATTGGATCTTTATTAACGTACAATCTCATGAAAGCCCCTGCCTCAGTTCAACTAAAAAAATAAGCAGTCAAATAAGAACGTGTGTGTGCGTGTGCGCGTGTGTATGCATACAGGAGAGTTTCTTTTTTAATTTATACACTTCTTTCCAATGCTTTGTGAATTATGTCTTTTCTGTCTTTCCTCTGGAAGATGAAGAGTCTTTGGTCTCTGGAAAGAGTCCTAAACCCACTGCTGCCCCCCCCACAGCGACTGGGCCCAGGGCCACAAGGGTCAACACTAAGATTATGGTCTACGGCCCTCAGGACTCTAGTGCTCCCCACTCTCAAGGTCCCCTTTTATGCATCAAGTTCCTTTTCCTACATCTGTCACTTGCTTGTCTTATTTTGTGTAAAAGCACAAGAATCTTCCTGCTGTGCCTTGTCCATTTTCCATCTGAAAAAACAAAAACCAGACGTGCATGAATGTGAATGTGCTTGGTTGCATGTTTATAGACTAAAACTGAAAAGATTGATAATAAGATTGTTAACGTTCACATTGTCTTGTCCTTTGACTTTACTGGTGTCCAGAAAGTTTAATGGTTATCCCAGGAGTTGTCTTACTGTAATTCCTAAAACTCTGCATTCAATATCAGATAAAAAAATCTTTTAATTTGAGTGTGTAGTTTTCCCCTTCTGGACTTCAATAAAGTAAGTGGCCTATAACACAGCTAGCCACCAACAAGTAACCATAAACAGGTATGTTTAATTAAATGTGCAATTAAGCCACCAACAAGTAACCATAAACAGGTGATGTTTCACACAGAAATATATACAAAAAAAAGGGGGGGGGGGGAGAAAATGTTTAATTAAATGTGCTAACATCTCAAATACAGTACTTTCTGGTCACTTAGTGGTTTCTGCTTTTTCTTTTTTTTTTAAGTTGAAGTTTATGTGGAATAAAATAGCTAATGCTGCTTGTCTTGGATGTACCGTATATACAGTATCTGTATATATACATCTATATATTTGACTCACCATTATTTTTTCACACCTTTGCAGTTGTCCCATGTTGCATTTAGCATTCGAAAACAACATTTTTATTTTATTGTCTTTACACTTTTTCTTTTAACCTTCAGTGCGCAGTAAAACTGGAGCGAGCCACGGTGAGAAGAGCAGAGAAACTTCCAGCCAGCGAGTGCAGCGGCAGCCCAGTGCCACCAGAGGGCAGAAGACCAAGAGCTCTGGCAGCAGTAGTTCCTCCTCGCACGTCAACTCAACATAAGGCCGTCGTCAATGTGGGGTCGTTTGTAAATATACTCACGTTTGTATGTAAGATATGTTGATATTTAATACTGTTGGTTGTGTTTATTTGGGCTCCTGCAACCGAATAAAAAGTACATGTCGGGGCCAGAATACTGTGTTTTTTGTATATATATATAAACATATATATGTATATATGTATGTGTGTGTATATATATGTATGTGTGTGTATATATATATGTGTGTGTGTATATATATGTATGTATGTATATGTGTGTTACACATATATGTATGTAAATATATGTATGCATATGCATATATGTATATAAGTGTATATTTATATGTTAAGGTGCGAAAATAAGCTGCGTTTATGACAGAATAAGTTTACTCGGGCAAAGCCATCTTTCAAATTCAAACGTTTCCTGTGAAATTTTACACATTTCTGAGTTATTTCCAGACAATATGTTTTTTTTTTTGTGAAGCAAGGATTTCTTTGATTCTACTCCTACCTTTCCCTGCATCCCTGCACTGACAGTGAGTTGCTTAGATCACTGTCAGGTGTTTGTTGCACACAGGTTGCATCATTTTGTTTTTTTCCGCTGCCTGTTGGCAGCTGTTGTCAAAGATAGTGTTTGAATGATTCTCACATCTGTGAGTCAGAATATTCAATTCAGAATATAAAGTAATCAACACAAACTGAAAAAGAAAAGCCTGCTACATGCTGGAAAGTAATATTTAACATTTTATTTGTGTTAAAGCTCTTTTTAAATGCAGTGTGTGAGGTCACTGACTGACTGTCCCTCAGAGGACGTCTCAGTGTTGGTTACAGCAGTGGTCAGCTGATCAAAGTGGAGGAATAGCTTCATGTGGTCAACATTTGCTTTATTACTGATTTTTTTTTTTTTTTTTGTGAAATCATATTCTCTAAATTACTAGGGTTTATTCTTGGTTTTCATCCATATTTGTTCCCTTTTTTTTCTTTAGGGTTGTTGGTGAAGACAGGGTTACACCCTGGACTGTTCACTAGTTTCAGGACATATACAGTATATAAATGACAATCAAAACCACAACCACACTTGTGGTGTTGACTCAACCGACTGAAAGCTTAAGTCTGTGTTGGGAAGTCCTGTTTGAAATTGTCAGAATTTGAAGGTCTAGACATTGATCTCAATAATTAGAATAATGTGTACAGAGCATGGGGACCAGGGAGAGTAGATTGTCTATACACACACCAGTATAGATCTCCTATAGACTTCAACAGCTCCAGACCTTTATTTTATCCACAACAATACAACATCTCAAGGATTGAAATCAACTAATCAATGTAATGTAACGTAATTAATCTTTCATTAAACGTGTTCTGTCTAGTCTGCATAACACTGCGCTGCTCTCTCTCTGAAAGTATGTGCCATGACATCCATAACAACCTTTGTTACCATGACACGTCTTTGAAGTAGGGTTGATATGATAGGATAATGGCTGTTGATTTTGACAGGTCTCACCTTCAGTTCAGTTCCAGATGAAGTTGGACGTACACTTGTTGTGCGCTGTTTGTTGTGAACTTCAAGCTCCAGACGAGCTTAGCGCCACCATGTGTTTCTTGAGTCTTTTGAAGTCATTAAGTTGAAACAGTTGCCCATTCTGCTGCTGCGTGGATAATGGTTCTAGATGTTCCATTTCTACAGCTTGGGTTCAGCGTGGTCCACATTGGTGGTCTCTTCTACACTGACTCTGAATGAGTCCACCTGTTATCGCTCTTTATATTCACTGATCTGTGGAAACACACCAAGAACCTTGAGGGAGGCTGGTGACTCTGATGGAGCCGAGCCGTTGATTTGTAAGTGTCACTTTTAAGAATGCTCTGTGCTATCGACCTGCAGCTCACTGACACGGCCTCATTGATTTTCTTTTCTGCCCCACACACCTGTATGAAGGGACACAGTGTCGTGTGGACGAGGTAACACTAATGAATCTCTACCAACACCGGCCTCCTTTGTTTATTTTCCTTTTTTTATTACCAGAATTAAAGTCAAGTCCAGAAATGCCCTGGATCCTAGCATTAAGGCATGTTAGTGTTACACATGGTTGCCTGAAGGTATTACCGTAACTGCATGTATAAACAGGCAGGGATTTCTACAAATCTGCTACAAAAATGTATTTTTATCATTTAAAACTCCCTTTATGAACAAATATACTTAATGTATGATACAAATTTAGGATTTTGTCTACATATATATAGTTGCTGCATTTATATATATAGTCACTCACTAAATTTACATCTTAGGCTCACTAAATATTTCAGTAAAACAGGAAAATTGCAGAATTGTTGCGTATATACAATGAGAAATTAACATTCTATTCCATTCTATTGTGCAAGGAAATCTACATTTGATTCACGAAGGAGGGAAAAAATTATCATCATTTCCAGAAACGTCCTGAATCCCTTCATAAATGCATATAAATGTTTCACGCGGCAGAGTGAACGTATTACCGTTATTGCATTAATAAGCAGCTGGGGATTTTTTTTTTTTTACAACCGTGCCTTGGATGAATTTATAGTTGAATTCTGTCTGTGTTGTACATGTGTCACATGGAGGCAGCAGCAGTTAACCCTTCCACACGATTTACCCTCACGTCTTCTAACAGCTTTTTGCAGATTTCTGATTGGTCCTGTCACAAAAAAAGTGACTTGTATAAATTTTTGCTTGGTTATTTTTGTGTGTGTGAGCATCTCACAGCAGTGTGACACAGACAGTCACTCTCTCCCTGTGTGTGTGTGTGTGTGTATGTGGGACAGGCTGCGGTGCTTTATGCAGCTGCGGGTCTTTTATGTGGCCGTTTGTCCTGGTTGTTCGTCCCTGCCTCTCTGCTCCTGAGTGCTCTGCCTTGATGGCGGCGTGCCTGTAATTGATGGCACCATATTGCTGTGGTGTAGCAGGTTTAATGGGGCTTGACAGAGCAAGGGAAAGCAGCGTGCACCCAAGGAGGCAACCTTACCCCCCCCCCCACTCCCACCCCTCACACACACATCCTCCTTCATCCATGTCTCCTCCTTCCATCCTCTGTTGCCTCTGCCACCTCTGCTGTGTTAGTGGTCTCAGTGCCCTCCCCTCTGCACATCATTGCCTGCAAACCCCAAAAGAGAATACAAAAAGGCCCGGTGTGATTAGCTTGTTTACGATGCCTACTGTTATCAGTGGTCATGGTGATGGCATGGTGGTTCATGATCAAGGAAGCTCACAGGAACCCCTCCGACTCCACTTCTGGAAATAAATACTCAGCAGCTGTTGCGCCTCTACTCGGGGTTTCGCTCGGAGGAACTTAAATGTGTTTGACAAAGGTAAACGGCTGGGAATTTATTCCTTTGAACCCGCTGCCAGGCTGCACTTCCTCATGTGACCCACAGGGGCCAGTGTGGTTCCAAGCAACCAACGTGGGCCTTCTCCTGCCTCTACTTCCATAGGCATCCGGTCCAGCTCTGTGGATGTGTTTATTTTGTTATGAGGGAATTTCATAGTCACACTCTCCCATTAAATAGGAAATGCTATCTTTCACTCAGACGCATCGTTCGTGCGCTTGCGCGTGTACACAGCACACGCACCATTTATCAATAGAGACGATGAAATGATGCTATTGTGAGCAAGGCAAGGCGAACAGCACATTGAGGAATGAGCCAGTCTGAGCTGTTGGCAATCATTAATGTAAGGTGTTGGTCTAAACCAAGTTCTCACACTCTCTCTGTGCAAGCTGTTCCCAGGTGACAAAAAACCAGGGAGAGACACTATTTTAGGAGCTGATATCACACTTCTCTTTCTATTTTTTTTTTTATACCCCATCACTTATTATATTCCCGCCTGAATTTCTTTCACTGTAAGTGTGCTCTGGAGGGGTGTGGAGGAATATCATACAGTTCCCCCCCCCCCCCCCCCCCCCCCCCCCCCCCTTTCCTCTCTCCCTAATTCTCCCCCCTCCTTCTCTGGGGTATTATCCCTTCCTGTGAACTCCTGGTCCACATTTCTCTTTAAATTTATGTGCCACTTTTCCTCACTTGTTGTCTCTCTACATCCACTCCCTCCCCTAACCCCGTCCCTCTTCATCTCTCTCTCTCTCTCTCTCTCACACACACACACACAGACACACACACACAGCCCACCTCCCCTCCAACGCCCACCCTCGCCCTCCTTGCCAGGCTTGCAGCAGATTGGCTATTTCCTGCACGTGCCCAGTAGAGCCCTTATCAGAAGTAGAGTGCTGATTGTTGGTCTGTCTCTCAGGCTGACTGACAGTTTGGGCTGCGCTGCTGAAATGCCTGATTTGGTCAATGTTTGTCTGTGGGGCCTTATCTCCACACCTTATATTAACTGCCTTGACAGTATGTGCAGGCAGTCTCTCTCCATCTTGTTGCACCACTCCTCCTCCTCCTCCTCTTCGTCCTCTGCCTCCTCCAACACCTTCCTTTCTCTGCCTCTATCTCCATACACTACACACTGCCCATACAAACCACAGTCCTTTCAGCTCCACATTTTCTCGCTGATGTTCCTCCTTCCACCGTTCCTTCCTCTTGTAGCTGGAGTAACGCTCTCTTCCTTTCTTTTATTAATTTTTAAAAATGATTTTTATTTTATATAACACTATTATGTCTAGTTATATATATATATATATATACATATCGTATCAAAGGCTTGAAAGTGTTTCCCAATAATATATAGGTCAGTTCATTTGCTGTGGCCTTAACTGAGTCACAGTAACAATGTTTTAATCTTATGTTGTGGATTATTCCAAAGTAAGAATAAAATAAACATCGAATGATCATTTTCTAATTTAATTTATAATTTATTTTATGGTTCTAGACATATACTATGGAAAATATATCACTTGTTTTAATTTGAGTCTGGAAAAAATAGCTTAATTGAAATACAAATGTTATGATCTTATTATTGTTTTCTCACAATCAACAGAATTAAATACCAAAAATTAAAACTAAATCTTCATCTCAGAAAAGATGAGACCTTGAAGTTCCTAAAGAGAAACTCTTCCACAAATAGACTGAAGGTCACCATAAAACCACAACCTCTGAGTCTGAGTAACAAATAACAGTAACAAAAATCCAGGTTTGTTTCTGTTTTTGTTTCCTCTTTAATAATGC